CGTACTCATTCTAACCCCAGAAATAATAGCTCAGATATGAAAAGCTTTATAAAAACTTCCTCTGCCCCGAAGAAAGCCTCCGTACATTTCCCTCCGGCGTCCTCATTGTAGGGGACGCCGCTGTTTTCGTTGTGAACTTCCTCGGCCAAACCCAGAATTTCTTTTTAGCTTTTCTTTTTGAGGCTGGGGCCCTCCTGGGAACGAGATCAGAGCGTAGGCCGTGCGCTTGTTCTGTGCCGCAGTACTCCCATGTGCTTTTTTTTTCTTCACTTTTTGAAGCATGTAGTGTGGAAGTTCTGTCAGAAGGCAATTTGTATTCCTGGGGACCGCTTTTACTTGCTGAAGGATTTTAAACTGTTTGGCTGGTTCATAGTGTGCCGATTATGAGGGGTTCCCACCATCCCTTTTTCCTCCCCTACCCCTCCCATTGCTGTACCTGGGGGAATAGGTCTTGCTTGGTAGAGCAACATTGTGCATTCTAAAGAACTATCTTGTTTATTAAATTTTTGAGGGTCTCCCACCATCTCTGTGCTGAATTCCCGGGTCTGTACACATGCTGAACCCATTATGAGGAGCTCCTACCATCCCTGTGCCATATTCCTGGGTCTGTACACCTGCTGTGCCCATTGAGGGGCTCCCACCATCCCCGTGCTGAGTTCCCAGGTCTGTACACCTGCTGTGCCCATTATGAGGGGTTCTCACCATCCCTGCGCTGATTTCCCGGTTCTGTATACCTGCTGTGCCCATTATGAGGGGTTCCCACCATCCCTGTGCTGAGTTCCCGGATCTGTACACCTGCTGTGCCCATTATGAGGGGTTCCCACCATCCCAGCACGGAGACGCAGAGTCTCCATTTTGCTTGCTGAACAGTAAGCACTTGTCCACACTGGCCTGTGCTTGTTGGGAGTTCGTATGTGTGCATCCTTTTTTATTTTTTGCAACTTTATTCAAATGCTGCAAAATGACATTTCGTTCTGCTCTATGCACTGCAGTGCGTTTAAAAATGCTGCATTTTATTGCAATGCACCTCTACAGTGTGATCCGGGCACGTGGGGGAACAATGGTTTCCTATGTGCCCTTGTGCAGAGTCTTCATTCATCAATGGCGATCAGCTCGCCCAATGTGAACGAGCCCGGAGCCAAGACCAGTCCTGTGATAGAGGTGACGCTCCATACATTGTTGGCGCTCTTTGAACCTATAATAAGTTATCTGTATAACAAAAAAACGTCTTGAAAATGTTTCACTGGCCATCCGACCAGCTTTCTCAATTCAGAATTCATTCTGAATTGAGAAAGTTGGTCGGATGACCAGTGAAACATCAAGAAAAATACAGCAAGTCCAGTTGCCTTGATTTTTATTTTTTACAGCTAAACAATGACCTAGATGAATGAGAACCCTCACAGACCTATAATAAGTTTGACTCACTGATTTTGCTTTATTGGGAGGAATGACTGACTGTAGCTCCCAACCCGGAGAAGCCCAACATGAGCACAGGGAGAGTCAAGGTGGCTGATATTTGAACCCAAGACCCCCAGCGCTGCAAGGCCAGTGTGCCAACCGCCTCCTGCTTCCCCCTTGCATGTGACCAGCTCTGAAAACACGAGGCGGTATCGTCCAAAGTCGGCTGTGTCTACAATAAACTGTTGTCGGTGACCTACAAATGTCTCATGCACTATACTGATGAATC